AGCTAAGAGACCTTGGAAGGAGAAAGCATAATCCAGAGGATGACACTGCATCACATCTCATTAAGTAACAGTAACACCCGCCACCAAATACCTAGTCTGTTCTTTTACTAATTTTCTGAAGTAGTAAGCACAGGCATACAGTACAGAAGATAAATACAGTACAGGCAAATCTGAACTGAGCAGAATTTAACGTTGAACACCAGAGGTTTTTATAAAGAAAAGAGGTCTTCTAAGTACAGGGCTTCCTTTCTCATGATGAAGTATTTAGATAGGATTAAAGTTTTTAAGATGACTTTGGTTACCACAAGGCTATGCAAACCTTTCACTTGAAGGAAAATGTCATTACCTTTGAGGGCTGGAGTAATTACAATATATTTGCTCTGCTGATTGGCCAGCAACCTCTTCTTCAACTTCTGAATTTGGAACACAGAGAAAGCTTCGAATTAACTGAGTGAAGGTCCATAAAGTAATCTGATCTTCTAAGAAATACAGCCCCAACACTACTGAAAACTTAATTAATACACATTTGAATTTTTATAGACTCTGCTATTTCCCTCTTTTGCTTTCACCTTCTGTGACCCTTTAGGAGACCAAGCTTCAGTGTCACCTGAAAGAGTGAAGATTATTGAGAGCAGTCACTTAGAGCTACTCATATGAGGACCCAGAACTAATTTCAAAGTTTAACTGTTGATCTGGTTGTGTTCCCACACCACTCTCCAACATGGCACCACATTTCATTGACATGTGGGGAGTGGTCGTTGTTTCATAAAATAGTAACAAATACTATTTCATTGATCATATATTTTAAAAACAAAGATATAAATCATTCAAAAAATAAACTCTTGGAAGCTGAAAATACATGTTTGATTAATGACCTAACCTTATCTGGCAGAATGAACTTCTCCTCTAAGGATTGCTGTGTTCTCAGTTCTTGTCTGAACTCTTTCTAGAAGAAAACTGGTATTTGAGTTTACATTGCCATGTCAGGCTTCATTCAACTAAAAATCATCCTAGTTGAATTACATAAACCACTGAAACAGACTTTAAAGAAAACTTCAGTCCTAAACTCTGGCAATGCTGCTGAGTCTGTAATTACTGCTGCACCAGCACTTCATTTACAATCCCCTAGTGCCCTGAGTCTATTGCTATCAACAAATTATGGGTTACCAGCCCAGTTGGTTGCTGTCAAATATACATTCTGTCTAGTGTTCAGACTAACAGCCTGCAAACAACCAACTGGAACTATGTCATGACAATACACCACTAATGGTGTAAGGGGGAAATGAACACAAATGGGAAAACCTAAAGTGAAAGATATGCATAGATGGTCCTTTTGAGGTAACAAAGTATATTTAAATCAAGACCAGAGAATTTGGAAGGTGATTAATGCTTAACCTTTTTATAGCAAATTGATATGGGACACAATGTTGTGGAGTTACAGCTTCATAAAGCAGGAAAATCAACTTTGTGAAATTGTGATTAATTGATGGATTTCAGAGACACAATCATAGAAAGAAATATACTTGGATATCAGGACTAGGGGTTTGTGAGGAGAACTATATAATTTGCATCTGTTCTATTTTATATAATGTTTCTGGTCTATATGAGAAATTAAACTCTACTCTGCGCTTTGGAGACCACACCTGGAGTGCTGCATCCTGGCCTGGATTTCTCAGCCAAGAAAGTCATGGACCTGCTAAAGTGAATCCAGTGGAAGGCCATGAAGATGGTCAGAGCTGGAACACCTCTCCTATGAAGAAGGCTGAGAGAGTTGTGATTGTTCAGCCTGAAAAAAAGAATCCAGAGAGACCTTAGAGCAGCCTTATAGTACCTAAAAGGGTAGGTACTTACAACAGAGGGAGAGTGACTTTTTACTCAAGCAGATAGTGATAGGACAAGGGTGACTGGTTTTAAACTAAAAGAGGAGAGATTCGGATTACATATTAGAAAGAAATTCTTTACTTAGAGGGTACTGAGGCACAGGAACAGGATGCCCAGAGAAGTTGT